ATGATAACCTATACATGTTCCTCACACTACACGATTCCCTGAAAGAAACAAATATTGAGATTGAAGAGAATCGATAAGGAGATAAAGATTAAGACTTGATTTGGAACTTGGGAGGAGATGTCTAACATGGCTCTACTATTGCATTATTTATAACTAAGCTTAGTCTAGTATTATTGAATGATGGAACCACCAGCAGCAAGAGATCTTCAAGCTTTCACCAAAAACCACAAATTAGGCATTTGGAGAGAAATCCAAGAAATGTGAGCTACTCTTTTTGGGCTCACCATGGATGAGGTTGAAGATGTTGATGGTGTCCACGAGGTGGTGCTAGTTCTTCTCTTCTTCCTCTTCCTTTCCTCCTTCAATCCCTTCTCGAATCCTTTCTCTCTCTAGTTCTAGGGTTCATCCTTGTTCTTGGGTTGTAGAGAGACAGGGGGAGAGTTGCAAATGAATGAGTGGGTGAGAGAGTGGGTGAAAGGGTGTGGCTTCAGCTAGTGAAATGTCCAAACTCATGCTGATATGTGGGTCCAATCTTTATAATTGGAGAATAGCTCTGTTGGCCGTCCTTAACGACCAAATACGACCACTAATTAAGACTCAAAAGAAGAGAAATAAACAAACTTATATACATATGCCTTTACTACTAACATAGTTCCACATGTATTTGGAAGATCAATGTTTTGCAGAACTTATACACCAATACAGTGGAAAATAAATCAAAAGGCGCAAACAGACAAAGCACAATGCGGATTCGCGCAAAGAAAGAAAGAGAAGCCCACTTACCCAGACAATTCGGGCGCCAAACCAACCAAGGAGCAACCACCCACGCGAAGGCGGTGCAGGGAGGCACCACCTAGGGGGCGGGCACACCCAGGGGGCGGCTGCCCCCATGTGGCTGCCACTCGGGCCCATCTTTCGTGTGGTGGTTCCATCAATGCTCCAGAAGGCGGTGCTCATGGGATCTCCTCCGAATATTCCACCAAACCGCCATAGAGAGTAGTATAAGAGGAGGGGGAGAGCCTCCTCTCACACATAACATTTGGAGCTACACCTCACTACCACATCTTGTACTTTTACCTTTTAGTAGTCATTTGGAGCAAGGCAAAGCTACCTTGGAGGGCTTGACTCCTTGAAGAATTCTTGGTATGAGTAATATGAAGAGTTCTTCCATTGTCATGTTCTCATATTATCAATATAGTCATGCTTATGAACTAGAGTATAGTTATCATGTTATGATCTTGACATATGACTAGCATATAGTTTCTATGTGATGAACTTAGCATGTAGAACCTTAAGCCTAATCGTTCATACAACTCATATGGTTAGAATTAGAACTAAGTTGAGGTGGTGATTCGTCATTCCTTCGGGTTTGCCCATGTCCTATGCTTGTCGATCCGTAGGGTCGGAGTCTCAGGGGGATATGGGTAGTTTCCTTATACGCGGGCGTGGTGCTCGGGTATGTAGAAACCTTCGGATGCGACGGTGCTCCACGGTTGAGGGCTAGGTGGCAGGTGGTGGCAGCCTTGTCCGTCCCTTGTAATCCCCCATGTTCAGGTATTCGTATAGGAGTTTGTAAAGTCTCTCGCGCTTGCTGGCAGACCAGTGCTCGGAGATCTTTCTATCCATCTTACACTTAGGTCTATTTCTAACCATGTAATTTGTATGATCATCAACTACTCTTTGCATGGCTATATTAGGATAAAATCCTACTCCACTTAGGAACATTCTTTTATTCTTTCTTTTCTATTTATCCTTGAGGTTGGCCCGAGTGTGTGTCACACCATCTTAAAATCCATCATAGCTTACCCTTGTATTGAGTTTTGGTCTAGTATACATCCACTTTATCCTGTCCATGTCCCCGCTAGAACCTTTTACACTATGCCTTCTTTTTGGAAAATATAAATAATGATACCCTGAATACTTTCAGGTGAAATGCTACAACGATGGATTCGTGCGCTTACGAATATTTTCTATAATCGTTAAGAACCATCGTCAAGGTATTTCTAGTGCCAATGCTAGGAAACACAAATCCTAGTAGTGACACTAAGAAATGCCAACAAGCATTTATGGCGCCATTGCCAACGAATGTCACGTTGCTCCACGAAGACGATGGTAACATCTTTATAGCCGCAGCCGGCCGTGGTGCGGTGATGGATGGCAGAGAGGGGGCAAGGGGCACGTGTAGTGCGAATAGGGCCCTTATGCTAGTTTTTGGGTGCGCCGAGGCTTGCACGGGGCTCCGAATCCTCCAATTTGAATCGGCGGGCAATCAATCGGTTGGATGGCGATGTCAGTGCATGGGGGCCGCAATAGCGTGCGTCACCTTATCTGTTGGCGTCGTTGTGCCCTCGCCTCGGACTGTGGTCATGGCAGCTATCTATTGGGTGCATGGGACGGGTGCGGGGCGCGGACGGCCGTGATGGTGCAGGGCGCCTCTGATGCTCTCCGTCGGGCAAGGCGAGAAAAGCAGAGAGGGGGCAAAAGGTTGGGGATGATAGGTGGGTCCCATGGGGCCCATCTGTCAGCCTTGGGTGCGAGTGAGGGACGCGGCTAGGCGTGGGCTCCTTCGGCGCTCGCGCGCACGTGGTGCACTCAGGCGTTTAAGCCTTCCAATGGGGGCATGTGGGGCTAGGCCGCAGGGCTGACGCGGGCCTCTTTCCTTTTTCCCTTTTTCTTTTCTAATTTTAATTCATTTTTTATTTCCTTGTTATTCTTTCTTGCTCCTTCACTTGTATACATGTTTGCTTTTACATGTATACCACCTGAGGGTGGGTCCACTATGTCAACCTTAGGGGGTCAAGCCAAGCTACGGTACTTAGCACACACATGAAACAACTTGTTTATATGAAAGTTAATTAATTGATTATTAGCAATTCATGAGAACCAAATAAGAAGCAAGTCATTTGTTGTCAATGCACATGCTCACACATCTAGTTACGGTTATGCTAGTGCGTGTATGGTGGGTTTCCTAGCATGCACATTCACCATGCAAGGTTTTGGATTATTTTTTTTGAAAGTTGGGATTTTTGGCTCTAGGGTTTTCAGTGTTGTAATAAGTGGAAATCGTGAGCTTCTCGACACCTCAGAGAAAATATTGTCGCGGACTGGAGTTTGCATTATGTACCTCATTTAAGCTTCCGCACTTTACTTGCTTTCCTAGGTTGTGTGCTTGCATTTCTAGTTTAGCTTGCTAGGCTAGTTAATAGGATTAGAACCTAGGTTACATAACTCTTTTGTGATGGAGATAGCAACACTTCGCAAAAGTATAGTGCACATTTCTTGCATAGATTTTGGTAACTAGAAAATAGAGGCCAAGTTTAGCTCTAGAAAGGCTAATTCACCTCCCTCTTAGACATCACAGTCCCTTCAGTTTCCATATTTGTTGTTTTTCTTACAATTCTGTTTTGTCTAAAGCCATGATAACACATCGGAAACAAACCCTCGTAAATGATACGTTCCCTTACCGCTTGAATCCCAAAACACACCCACGCAAAATAGTATAATTAAAAAGTACGCCTTACGATAAAAAGAGTAAAATACAAGAGCGATCTCTAAGCTTGCTTAGGAGTGTCATTTAGGTCTCTAAACTCTTAAAAAATATTTTTAAATTTTTAAAATTGTCTTTGTGTGCTATCTAGGTCCTAAACTTTCGAAATATAATTTTAGATCGTCAAACATGACTTAGTGTGTTATCTAAGTCCTTGAACTTGTCATAGTGTCACTTAGGTTGAAATACACCTAATCTACTACTCCACGTCACGACATGCAACAATAGTGGATCAACACCTCATTCTTGACTTCGATAGGAACTTAATGTTAATGGCAAAGCAATTGCTCGTTTGCCTCTTCCACCTAACCACTTTGGCCTGTCGCATTACAACTTATGACGCTGCAACCTTTGGTGTGGAGGATGACAAAGGCATGCCTTGGAGAGAGCGACTGTGATGTGATGCCACAATAGATTGGAATGCAAAGAGGGTGAGAGAATGGAGATGGAGCTAGAAAAGAGAGCACGTAGACAGAGAGCTAGAGACTTACATATGGGCACGTAGACAGAGAGCTAGAGACTAACATATGGGCAGGTTGTAGCTCGTTTAAACTTAGATGACACACTATGACCTTGACCTAAGACCCCAGGAACACCTAATTTCTACTCACATGCTCATAGAAAACCATTGACAGAAAGTGTAACATTATATGATTACAACCGTCAATGTCATCTAGACTTAAGTTGTTTGGTTTGAGAAATAAATTAGTCCATCTTTCCACTAACTTTTTTATTTGATTTATGAGCAGAATGGATTAATTCATCATCACCTTATTCTTCATAAGGCTAATAATTAGTACTAGTATGAGAAATAAAATCATTTCACTAAATATGAGAAATAGACTCATAAAGCACCACATCATTTAGAATTGTTTGGTTCCTTAAACCAAACAGTACTATATTTGGAATAGGAAAGAGCTAGTCAACTGAAGGCAAGAAAAATACCGTCTGATTTTTCATTGGGAAAAGAAAGCTCAATTCATGACATCCAAACAGAATCATCATCTGAGCCAAAATGAAGCACTAAAATATGGAGTTGCATCTAATTTCATGATGAAATTCAACAATTGGTAGCCAAACGGGATGCTCTTTCCAGGGAACACGTCCACAACTCTTCGTAATGCAATGACACAGCTCTCCGTGCTCGAGAAAAAATAAACCACCACAACTTCCAATCAGACATGCTCTTATTGGTCCATATAATACACTTTTGTTATATTTAGGCATTCGTCAGTGGCAAGTGGCCGCAGCCATGTGCACACAAAGTACATATCTTGCGCTCCGACAGCGAGCTATGTGTATGTATCAGGGAATCCTGCGATCAGAACACCGCAAAGCAGTCGATGAAACAATTGGTAACAACACCGCGTGGGGCCTTCAGATACATTTTGTACAGCTACTCCATGGCATGCATCGGCCCACGTTACATTACATCCTATTAAGACAGACCTCTTCAGAGCTCCATGGCTGGCAAGGCCGGCTCAACAACCGGTGGCACAGCATCCACCTTGTACCGTAGGATCTGTCAATAGGCAAAATCAGAAGAATCAATTACTTGGATAACACCACTATGCAGTTGAAAGAGGAAACCAATATTTTGCCTATGGGTTCCATTCAGTGTGTACATTAAGGAAATGATTCAATTCATTTGTCAATTAAGGTACAAGTTCAATTGGTTCTAACTGGGATGCTAATTTATCTAGTTAAGGCTGTGGATTTTCCAGTGGGCCATCAGAGCAGTGGATGAAAATTTCGAGGGTATGAATGGCAAGATCGCAAGGAAGCGCAAGCTGGCCATTGCCTTGTGGCATGGAGTACAGTTTGCCTGCCAATACAACTTCGAGGCCTTGGTATCTCTGGTCTCAAGAATATGATGTGGGCGCTGAGAATGAGATGTGTGTAGCTGCAAAAAAAAGAGCCTCGTCGTCCTTGGGCAACTCTGCCTATACAAGCACCAGCGGAGGTCAAGGCCTTTTTCTCAATCACACTCAAAACAGAAATAGGTGATGGCTCACGAACTTTATTTTGGACTGACCATTGAATTTCATGGGCAGTGCCATGCCGATTTGGCTCCTCGCTTATTTGCTATATTCCAAAGAAAAAAATTCAAAGATGTACTGTTCAAGAAGGCCTCACAAACCACATTTGGGTTTCAGATTTACAGGGACCATTTTCAGTGGTAGTTTTAATTGATTGCTGACATCTTTGGGATCTCTTATTGGATTTTGGACTGCAAGCTGATGTCAAAGATAAACACATCTGGCAATTCTCTTCGAGTGGGCAATACACGGCCAAATCTGCATATGAGAGCCTTTTCATAGGTGCTATACAATTCAGGCCTTTGGAGAGAATATGGAAAACTTGGACACCTGCTAAATGTGGTTTCTTTTTGTGGTAGCTCATAATTGCTGCTGGACAGCAGATCATCTTGCGAAGCGGGGACTACCTAAACCTAAGGAAAGCCCATTATGTGACCAAGAAGAAGAAAAATATCAATCACCACCTTACTTCCTGTGTCTTTGCTGAACAATTTTGGTATATCTTTGAAGCTTGGTGGGAGAGTCAATGAAGCAACCAGTGGTATGATCCAATGTGGGCTCAACTCTCTGATCATATTGGGCGCTTGGATCATATGGAACCACTAATTTTTTTTTTTTACGGTATGACTCCTACATAGAGTTTGGTTCAGGTAACTGTAACCTGGGCTAGAGGAATCTCCTTGACTGCCCCCATGGCCGGGTCTTGAGTGCTGTTTTTTAGATGGGTCATTATTCTGTCTTCTTTTTAATCGGCGCGGCTGTAACTATTAAGTGTGGCGTTTGTGGTGCATGTTGTAACTGGGTTCTTGTCCCATTTTCCTCTTAATATACTGAAGCGCAGCTCTCCTGCGTTTTCTAGAAAAAGAAACAGCAGGCAACCAACTACCATGGGAATAGAAATTAGAAAATGCTTCCACATCAAGAAAGGTAGTTATTAACCTATAAGATTTGCAACACATTGCAGAAAATACGAACAGCTTAACCTGTGAATACATTGCAAAAGAGACCTTGAACATGACATCTTTTATGAATTACCTTTTTGAAGAATGAAGAATATGAGTTGTCCCATACAAGTTTGTATGATCCCAATGAAACAGTGCAAAAATTACCCTGTGTATGGCAAACCAATGCATGTGAATCATTAGAAGTACAGAGGGGAAGTTATTAAAACCATACAATTTGTGGGCTAAGGGTTCAGATGTGAGATGAGTCAAACTATAATCTTGAGTACTCCCTCCGTCCAAAAAACAGTGTCGCTATAGGGTTCATGAGGGTCAAACTTTTTAAAGTTTGACTAGGTCAGCACTTGTATCTTCAAATAAGTTCATTATAAAAATATGTTCAGCGATTTATCTAACGATACTAATTATGCACTATAAATATTAACGTTTTTTTATATATTTTGCCAAAGTTGAAAATGTTTGACTTCTCGGGAGGAGAGAATAACACTTTTTATGGGACGGAGGGAGTAGAGATTTTACTTTAGGGGAAGTTAAAACCATACAGTTTGTTTGAAGTAACTAGCAACTAGTGTAGGTATCAAGAATGAGAACATAGGTTAACCTCGCTGTATCCATCTTGACTATTGTCTACTGGAGCTATTTTAGTTTTATACTACCTCCGGTCATCTTTATTTGACATTTCAGACAATGATTCTGACTTGCACATAGATTTATTTGCTTGTATGAAACATGAACTAAAACTGACAGCGAGAGCATGTCTGAGAACATGTCACTCAATTCATGCATGTGAAGCCTTAATTCTAAAACCATTTTTGTACTTGACACAATGGAAATTGGTTTATCTGATTCAAGAAAAGCACAAGCAGGAAAGAAAACTTACTTGGTCGGCTTCATACCGTCGGTATGGAAGAATTAACTGCAATACGTACAGTTCTATCAGATGACAGTTAATACAATATGACCAAATGAAGTATTTGTTGAGAACCAACCATCAAGGACAATACACTTCTGTAAAACCAGAGGTACATAGGCAAGAACGTAAAGAAAATGTTGTTACTCCAATAGAAGGCAACTGTCAGAACATTTTGGGTGGAATAATATAGGGAAGAGTTAAATGCATGACCGGCCCTTGAACTTGTTAAGGGGCACTTAGGTCCATAAACTTTGGAAATGTATTTTTAAGTCCCTAAATTTGTTAAGTGGTTGCACCAGTGTTGGTATGGTCCGGAAATGGACCTGCGGTACACCATTTAACATGTTTAGGGACGTGCTGTCCACCACCGACAAGTTTGCGGACCCAGAAATACATTTTCAAAGTTCGTGGACCTAAGTGCATTTAACTCAATAGAAAATGCTTGCAAAATTTAAGTTTTGGCTTTTTCTTCACTAAGGGATGGTCTCTTTTCATTTTGCAGAAACCCCTGCTCTTTATTTTTTTTTGAAACAAAAGGCAGGAGCTCTGCCGCTCAATTAAGCCGAAAGAATATTATGTACAAGAAGGTTAGCCGGACGAGATGCCAGAAAGGCACCCGAAGGGCTAACCACCCCACGCGACGCAGCTGAGCACAAACATGACACACTACCATGGGTCATCGTTGCCGAGCATGGAAGTCAAGCTGCCAGCAGCTCTGACTTCCCATGGCAGGTCACCCACTAGTCACCCCCCGACGGGTTTGAAGCTAATGGTCGCCACCGGTCATCGTTGCCAAGCTCAAACACCGAAGAGCAGCTCCGACTTCCAAACGCAAACCATCGCCCCGCATCGAAACCGCGACAATAATCCAAATGTGACGCCTTCAGGAAGGGAGTGACGCCAGTGGCGTCACCGTCGCACGTCCAATGTGGACTGAGTTTTCACCCTTGGAAGACATGCTATTGGGGAAATACGACGCCCCCAACAGGGAAGCGGCGCCCAATGGCGTCGCTGTCGCCAAGGCTTTCGCCCAAGAACCCTCTAGCACACTCGCCGGGTCGTGAAGCCGGACCCGTGCCAGCCTTCAACGGCATCGCCGTTGTCCCGGCGCCCCACGGAAGCCCCTTAAGAGGGGCATCGATGCACTGGCTGCACGTAGTAGCCGCACAGCTGCGTCGGCCGCCACCCCCTCCGACCGGGCCACGCAGAGCCGGACCTGACTCTGCCGCTCGCATCACACCGCCGCACGCCAAGGCCGCATTTGACCAACGTCGTCGGCTCTGGCACATGCCGATGTCGCTGCCGTCATCACCGCCAGTGTGCCCTACCCTGTTGGGCTCCGCCCCATGTCCTGGGGCCGCCGAATCCGGACGCCAGGCCCCGAATCCGGCACCCCCTGCTGACGCCGACGCCTCCGTCTTGACCATAGCTGCAGACACCGTCATGGGCCGGCCCATCGCCTTGGCCGCCAGACCGACCCGCCGCGGGCAGGCTGGCCAGCAGAGGTCGCTGCCCCAGGCACAGCCAGCACCTGAGCCGCAACAGCCAAGGCCATGAGGGGAGGGACGGCAGAGAAGAAAGCACCGCCCCCCAGCACATGCATGGGCCCCGGCCACCGCCGCCGGCCGCCAAGACAGATCTGGCAGCCTGGGGCCCGGATCTGGCCCCCCGGGCACCGGATTTGGCCGACTAGGCCCCGGACCGGCTGCCTCAACCAGCGCCACCACTGCCATCAAGAGAGGAGAAGGGGAACGCGCGGAGAAGATGACCTCGCCGCCGTCCCCTGCGCCTGCACGTACACCAGCCGGCGCTGTAGCAGCTGCGGCAGCCACCTCGTCAACCTCCACGCCGGTCGCCTTCTTGGCCGCGTTGTCGTGGCTCTCCATGAGAGTGTAGGTTGGGTTGTAGCCGGTGAGCCCGCCCAACTCGATGATGCGCTTGTCGTAGGCGGTCTGGCGGAGGGAGATGCCGGAGCTGTACTGGTGGACCTCGATCCCCAGGTAGAAGGAGAGAAGGCCCAAGTCGCTCATCTGGAAGGTGGCCATCATCTCCTCCTTGAACGCCTCCACCTCGGCCTCTTTGGTGCCGGTGATCGCCAGTGGCGCGCATGGAGTTAGTCCTTGCGCCGGTGGCGTGCATGGAGTCGGTCCGCCTACTGCTGGCCCTGGCAGCGGTGAAGGACTGGCACATTCATCACCTAGACGTGGCGACATGAGCGATCTTGGTTCCGCATGAGCAATCTCGGCTAGCTCTCCTACTACCTCGGCATCGAGGTGAAGCAGGGGAGTGACTCCATCTCCCTAGGCCAGCGTGCCTACGCGGAGAAGATGCTGGAGCATGGCGGCATGGCAGATTACAAGTCGTGCGTGACTCCAATGGAGGAAAGGCCAGCGCGCCTACGCGGAGAAGCTGCTAAAGCGTGGCGGCATGGCGGACTGCAAGCCGTGCGCGACTCCAATGGAGGAAAGGCTGAAGCTATCAAAAAACAGCACCACGGCGAAGGTGGACGCGACGCTTTACCGGAGCATCGTCGGCAGGCTGCGGTATCTAACTCATACCCGGCCGACATCTCATATTTGGTGCTTCTCTGCCGGTGGAAAGTACTTAGCAAAATCAGCATACGATAGTTTGTTCATAGGTGCTTGACATGTATGGTATATCCTCCTGCAGAAAGTATGCTTGCAAGATTTAACCCCTCAACCAGATGATTTGTCCTTTCGATGATTGGTGGGCCAAATCTAACGAAAGAGTGGATGGTCAAGTCCAGAAAGGCCAAAACTCCATTATCATCCAGGGAGAATGGGCAATCTGGAATCTCCACAAGCAATGTGTGTTTGATGGGATCTCACCTAGTTTGAATGGGGTTTTAGAGGTCATCAAGGAGGAACTACATTTCTGGTATCGAAAATAGTGTGGCGCCCAGGGGAGCTGGCACCCTCGCTATCTGGACCGTTCTATGAGATTGGCACCGTCTACTTTAACAAAAGGCAGCCTAACGGTGCCATGGTAAAAAATACTTACAACAGATAACAATTGGTCGTATACTGGATTTCTCTGTAATAGCAGATGGTGTTTTGTTGCAGATTGGTCTTCCAGAATGCAGCTATGTATGTAAGATAATCAGCTGCTCTCCCTTGATGATTTTGCTGCAGCAGGGAGTTGGCACTTTGGTCAGCCCTTGCTGTCCTTCTAGCCTACTGTAGAAGTATGGCAATAGGCCAATCTATGTAGTGGCTTACCTCAGCCATGTAGTAGTTGGGGGCTGAAATCAGCCATGTACATGTACTAATGTACCACATAGTTGGTACTAGTATTGTATATATACTCAATGTAATGCAAGGAAGAAAAGCAGTTCAGTTGCTGCACTAGCAGACTTGTGCTTGTGTTGTTTGCTCTGTTCTCAACCTCTTCTTCTACCTCTATCCGTGAATTGTAGGTGTGGGTGAGCTCTTTGCTCACCTATGCAGGAGTTCGATTGCCAACAATGTATACCTGGTTTTTATGTAATACAACTTTGTATTCCGTTTCAGTTTGTGCTTCACATGATGTATTACAAAGCTTCACTTGATGGTTCCCATTTTATTTTGCCTTACAAAATTATATGTACCTTATACCAATCATGGTTCTATACGAAGTTTCTATACGAAGTTCGCAAACTAAGCCATGATTCAAATTTATAGCAGATAGAATTTTGATCAGAAACAAATGGAATCCATCATCCATGTGTTCTCTGCAACTGAAAAATTATGGTACTATACCATGTAATTGGGCATACACAAGTTATGTAATTGGCAATTGTTCAACGGGGAACAAGAATGAAGTACAAAAAATTTGGTATGATGATAGCAGTCCGGACAGCAGCCTAAACACATATTTCTGCTTGACAGAAGTTATACGACAACAACATAGCCTTTTAGTCCCAAACAAGTTGGGGTAGGCTAGAGTTGAAACCCACCAAGAGCCCCAAGTCACGGTTCAGGCACTTCAATAGCTGCTTTCCAAGTACTCCTATTCAAACATAGATCTCTAGGTATATCCTAAGCTTTCAAATCTCTTTTTATTGCCTCCCCCATGTCAATTTCGGTCTTCCTCTACCTCTTCTTATATTATTAGCTTGGCTTAGGACTCCACAATGCACTGGTGCCTCTGGAGGTCTCCTTTGGACATGGCCAAACCACCTCAACCGATGTTGGACAAGCTTTTCTTTAATTGGTGCTACCTCTAGGCGATCACGTATATCATCGTTCCGAACTCGGTCCATTCTTGTGTGACCGCAAATCCATCGCAACATACGCATTTCTGCAACACTCAGTTGTTGAACATGTCGAATCTTTGTAGGCCAACATTCTGCTCCATACAACATAGCCGGTCTAATCGTCGTTCTATAGAACTTGCCTTTTAGCTTTTGTGGTACCCTCTTGTCACAGAGAATGCCAGAAGCTTGTCGCCACTTGATCCACCCTGCTTTGATTCTATGGCTAACGTCCGCATCAATATCTCCATCCCTCTGTAGCATCGATCCCAGATACCGAAAGGTATCCTTCTTAGGCACTACTTGACCTTCCAAACTCACATCTCCCTCCTCATGTACAACTCCGCCAAAGTCGCATCTCTATTTTTTTTACTAGAATCTCCAAATGTTTGCTGCCATTACTCTCCGTCTGAGCAACTTTTGACAAATTAATCCAACAGTACAGACAGGGAGGGTGCCAAATCCATACTCTTCTGGTATTTAGCTGGGACTTGAGGGGTTTCACATCTCCTCGCCCTTGGGTCCAGCGTTAGTTAGTTTGTTGGTCGAGGCTGTTTGGTGTTTGCAGTCTTTGGCGAGTTTCTTTGCCTTTTTCCTTTTATTTTTGTGTGTATCTGTCTGTGTGGCGGGATTTGTGTGCTGTTGTTTGGGTTCAATACCCTTTTCTTCTTCTTAATATATTGATACGCAGATCTCCTGCGTATTCGAGAAAAAAATCCCCCCACCCCCCCATAAAGTGCTTAGGCCCTAGGAATTCTTGGTCATGTTTGGTTGTCTTTTTTCGCTGCAGCCCATGGAGCTTTTGTGCATTTGTGTTTGGGCCGTTTGGGAGGCATCCCCTCTCGAGTCAGGTTATGTTAATTCAACTCGTTGTACTCTCTCTTAATGAAATGTCATGTAGCTCTCCTGTGCCAGTCGAGAAAAAAAGGACTGATCCTACCAATGTCCATGACAATGAACAACAATACATCTTCAGGAAATTCCAGTTTTATTTATGAAACAATAATCATCCTAGTGAACAAGAAACTTACAGTTTTCTCCCCTGAAGGGCTAATGTGCTCCACATGAAAGCCAATGTCCTGTCAACAACAAATCTGTCTCTTAAGGGAATTGTGAACTTAATTAACTAATGCATTTCAAGAGCTTCAAAGCCCTTTTTGAGGTTACAGGTCATATGCATTTTTTATTCAAGAAACATGAAGCATTAGCCAGCACATTATTTACACGGTAGCATCACACATTTCTTTTTGGTAGCAAACTACAAGATCATGTATTATCATCAGGATATGAGTGACCATTATTACACTGATATCACTGTTCCAATATTATCATTGTTCTAGGCTTTGGCATTTCTTTACATTTCAGCTGAATATCTCATTTATTTTTTTATTTACATAGCCTCTTTTACACAAACCATATATTTCATAAGCACTCACTGAAGCCTTCTCAACAATACAAATGTGCCATGTATAGTTAAAGATATAAAATACAAATCATGATCTGTTTCAGAGTAGGGAATCAGCATAGTACCAATACCATGTTGAGGGCCCCTTGTTGCAAGGAGAAGTCCCATGCAATGTATGAGTTTAGAGCTTCAACACTCAAAATGACCTGAACAATGTAAATGACAATTGTTAAGCAAATCAAGACCATCCAAGAATAAAACATCAACTACTTATAATTCCATATCACTGCATCAAGGGACAAGAAGCCATAAGCATCATATATTACCAAGAAATAAAGCAAATAACTGAGATCAACTAGACCTGTGTACCTCATGTGTCTTTCTAGCTGGAATAATAGTTTCTTTGTACGCATCACTTTTCCTACCAAAAGAGGACGAAAATATATTTCAGTTCTGCAAGCTTGTTTTGTACATATTAGCACTATAAGCTAAAGTGCTTAGTGGCAAAGCGCATCAGATTGCTGCTAAAAGGAGAAAGTACCTTGCATCCATGGCACCTGCATCCTCAGCTGATATAAAGAATGGCGCATTCACAAAGACCTCACTGCATAGTGTTGACTCATCAGTTGAAAAAGAATAATCATGAAAATATTTTATAAGCAACTTTCTTTCCTATAGAGCTTTAATGAACAGAACTGGTAGATTGGTGATGCTTAAGTATGTCATGACCTCTGTGGTGATTTATCTAGCTAATAATGCTATGGACCTTCGTCCATGGGCTCAAAGAAATTGACAAAAAATTTGTAAGAATTTTTTGTGGGGGAGGAAAGAAGCTAGTGGCAGTCATTGCTTAATCATGTGGCCAAAGGTTTGTCGTTTAAAATAACTTGGAGGACTTGGCATTCACGACCACAAATCATTCAGTTGGGCTTTGAGGATGAGATGGCTGTGGCTAGCTAAAACTCAACCGGATGAACCTTGGGCTGAGTTTCATATTCAGGTTCATCCTTCAGTCCAAGCCTTCTTGTCTATGGCTTTGATATCTACTGTAGCAGAGGGAAAATCCTCTCTTTTGGACAGATAATTGGCTGCAAGGTAATTCTATTTGACAGTTAAGCCTAGTTGCTATGTATCTTGTTTACTGTTTCCTGTCATTTACTTTTCAAGCTTCTAAGCCTTGTATTACGAATATGCTCAGCATCCACTTTAGTAGTTAGAATATGCTGGAGTAGGTAGACCACTTTGCTATATAAGCAGTGGTAAGGACCAACTTGTATCCCAAGTCTTTGCAACTTCAGATTCAATCCAAGCGGCCTATGTCCAAGCGGCCCTCTGGGCTTACCAAAATCTGAGATCCATTTGTGATTGTGGGCAACACTATTGCTTCCCTAGCTCCTCACATTTATTTACTGGTGTCTAAGATGCAAGCAAAATGGCATACTGTACATGCAGCTTTGGTTCAGAATAACTGTGTTGTGGATGTTTTTATCAGAAAACAGTATGGCCGCAGAAACAAGACGGCTGAGGCATCCACCAGTGACTAGGATAGTTATTAGTTTGGATAAGTTTGTTTTGCTTGGCACTTCAGATTAGGAAGTTGTAAGCAATTTGTTAGATCTGGCTCTACTTAAGGACAGAAACACTTGTTAGGATAAGCAGGAATCTACTATACCTAAATAGGAGGAACCCACTAGCCTATTTTCCTACGATTTCGTGAAGCCACGTCATCTAGGGGTCCCACCACCACAAGTCCTCGTGCAGCAGCCAAAGTCATCATGTTCTAAGTTTCATCCGTTACCTCTCGTGGGCTGTTGGTCACTAAAAAATAATGGCGGTAGTGGGATTAGATACGTTAGTGAAGCACCAAACAGAGGCTGCAGGTCACTTAAAAATATTGCCGGTAGTGGCATTAGATGCGTTTGTAAGACGTCAAGCAATAAGAAGTCGCATCGTCAGGTTCCGTTTTCTGCCCCATAACATCCCTTCCGTTTTCTGCCTCTGGACGTGGAATAAGCTGAGAGATGATAGTTACGGGTTGTGCTTCCTGTCCTTCCTGTGTGCTCGAGGGCCCCAAAGCATGGCAGATCAAGCAACAAGCATGAACAGTTTGCGCCCAGGAGGTGTGCTGGGCACACAGGTAGACACCCAGGAGATGGCTTCGCCAGACCATGGAGCCTTGCAGCCCACGGCGCACCTTGTCACGAGCACCGAAAAAGGAGAGCTGTCACCCTGCGCTACAAGTGTTATCCGCCCTCACCAGCCGTGCACGCTTTCTGCCCCAGCAGACATCACTTCTCACAGTTATCACCTTGGTGTTGATGTAGCTCGCCTTGATGCTCCCTTCCTCCAAGCAGCCTCGGATGAAGTGGTACCTCGCCCGGATGTGCTTACTCCGTTCATGAAACACGGGGTTCTTTGCCAGGGCCAGAGCGGACTTGCTGTCCACTCTAAGCTCCACTGCTCTAGTGTCTCTGCCGAGGAGATCACCAAGCAGTCGAGCGAGCCAGAGCGCCTGAGTTGAAGCGGTGGAGGCCGCTATGTACTCGGCCTCGCAGCTGGACAGGGCCACCACCTGCTGCTTGACCGACTGCCAGCTAACGAGGCACTTGCCGAGGAAGAAGAGGATCCCGCTCGTGCTCTTGCTAGTGTCGATGTCGTCGACGTGGTCGCTGTCGCTGTACCCGATGAAGTGTGCCGCCCCAGGGCACCTAGGGTAGTAGAGGCCGTGGTCGAGTCCCCGCAACATAGCGGATGATTCTCTTCACAGCCTGCTGGTGCTCCGTCGTCGGTCGCTGCATGAACCGACTAACGTAGCCGACGGAGAATGCCAAGTCCAGCCGTGTGTGGGCGAGGTAGCGAAGGCTCCCCACAAGACGCCGGTACTGCGTAGCGTCCACCTCCTCCGTCGTGCTGTCGCGGCTCAGCTTCAGCCTCTCCTCCATCGAAGTGAGAGCTGGGTTGCAGTCGGTGAGCCCAGCTAGCTCAACGACGCGCTTGTCGTAGGCGGTATGTCGAAGCGTGATCCCGGAGTCATCCTAGTGCACCTCGATTCCCAGGTAGAAGGAGAGAGGCCCCAGGTCACTCATCTGGAAGGTGGCCTTCATCTCTTCCTTGAATGCCGTCACCTTCGCATCATTGGTGCCGGTGATCACCAAGTCGTCGACATAGACACCCACCAACAGAGCATTTCCTCCACTGCCCCGTCGGTAGATGGCCGCCTCGTGCGGGCTTTGCTCGAAGCCCATCCCCTTTAGCGTGGAATCCAGCTTGGCATTCCACGTCCTCGGTGCCTGCCGCAAGCCATAGAGGGCCTTGCGCAGGCGGAGCACCTTGCTCTCATTGCCGGGGATCGCAAATCCCGGCAGCTGGTGCACGTAGACCTCCTCCTTCAAGTCGCCGTTAAGGAACGTCGATTTGACGTCCATGTGATGAACACGCTAGCCCTCCTAGGCAGCTAGCGCAAGGAGTCGCACGGACTCCATCCGTGCCACGGGAGCAAAGGCGTCGTCGAAGTCGACCCCCTCCTGCTACACGAAACCTCGTGCCACCAAGCGGGCCTTGTGCTTGACGATGGCACCGGCTTCATCCCACTTCAGCTTGTACACCCAATTAAGGGTGATCGCGCGGTGACCACGAGGAAGGTCAGCAAGCTCCCAGGTGCGGTTCTTCTCAACCGCATCCATCTCCAACTGCATCGCGGCGCGCCATGCCGCGTGTCTCTCGGCCTCTGCAAACGACCGAGGCTCGTCGTCGTCACACACAAGGTGCAACTGCGCCTCCAGGTCGTGAGGCACCGGTCCCGGCACCGGCTGGTCGCGGAGAAGGTTCTCCATCGTACGGTACCACCACGGCTCGCCGTCGTGGTACGCGTCGACACGCTCCTCGTCGTGAGGGATCGGAGTAGCGAGCTCAACCGGGCCGTGCTCGACACGAGCTGGTGGTGGAGTAGATGTGCCCGGAGTGGTGCCTGTCGGTGCTGGAGTGCGTGGCGTTGAAGGCTGTGGTGGAGCCGGCGAAAAACTCATCGCAGCCGAGGTCCTGGCTGGAGAGAGTGGTGCTGTCAGAGTAGCAGGCGCCGGGGTCGGTGGAGGCTCGGGGACTGGGGTAGACGCGCTCGCCGAAGAAGAGCTGCCTACTCCCCCAGCTCCCTCGAAGTGGACGTACTCGATAGTGAAGTCGTCGTACGTCGGAGCCGAGCCGCCGTCCACCGCCTTGTCCCACGCCCATCCTCGCCCTTCGTCGAACACAACGTCGCGCGCCGTGCGCACACGCTGTGTCTTCGGGTCGTGGATACAGGTAGGCCTTCGAGCCCTCCGCGTAGCCGATGAACACTCCCGGAGTGCTCTTGTCGTCGAGCTTGCTGATGTGGCCAAGCTCCTTGGCGAACGCGAGGCAGCCGAAGACCCGCAAGTGGGAGACCGCCAGCTTGCGCCCATACCAAGCCTCATACGGCGTCCTGCCGTCGAGCGCCTTGTTAGGCGAGCGGTTGAGGATGTAGACTGCCATCACCACCACATCTCCCCAGAAGACAGCCGACATCCCCCTCTGCTTGAGGAGGGCCCGAGCCATCCCCACAACCGTCTGGTTGCGCCGCTCGACGACGTCGTTCTGCTGCAGGCTGTACGGCGCGTAGTGGCGATGAATGCCCTCGTCAGCGCAGTACGACGCGAATTCAGCCGCCGTGAATTCGTCGCCGTTGTCGGTGCGCAGCACGCGCAGCTTGCGGCCGCACTCCGCCTCCGCAGCAGCCTGCGCGCGCCTGATGGCGTCCGCAGCCTCTCCCTTGCTGTCGAGGACCATCACCCACATGTAGCGGAAGAGGTCGTCGACGAGCAGCAGGAAGTAGCGTCGTCCTCCCGGTGTGACCGGTGTCACCGGGCCACACAAGTCCTTGAGCATAGGCTCGAGCCTCTCCTTGGCTCGAAAGCTCGCTCGCTGGGGAAAAGGGAGTCGCCTCTGCTTCGTCAACACGCAGACGTCGCAGAGCTGCTCCACATGGTCGAGGCATGGCAGGCCTCGCACCATCTCCGTGGCACTGAGCCGCTTCAGGGCCTCAAAGTGAAGGTGCCCGAAACGCTCGTGCCACTACCACGCCTCGTCGTCCCGACGAGCAGCGAGACAGAGGGGTTGTGCCACCTGCACGTTAAGGACGTAGAGTCGATTTGCGCTTCTGGATACCTTGGAATGAAGGCGACGACGACGATCCCAAATCCTCATGACTCCGTCCTCAACCACCACGCGCGAACCGTTCTCATCCAGCTGTCCCAAGCTGATGATGGAGTTCCTCAACACGGGGATGTAGTAGACTCCGGTGAGCAGCCTGTGCTCACCAGGCACGGCGGTGAAGATGACGGAGCCGACGCCCTTGATCTCCACGCCGGAGGCATCCCCAAACTTGACGGAGCCTCGGACGCTAGAGTCAAGCTCGGTGAAGAACTCCTGTCGACCGGTCATGTGATGGGTGGCGCCGGTGTCGAGGCACCACCCGTCAGTCTTGTCGTTGCCGGAGCTGTCGCCGAGGAGGGCGTGTGCTTTTGGCTCGTCAAGGTGGAGGACAGCCGCTGCGGCCGGTGCCGCTGGAGGTAGCTCGATGCTTGCATGTGCCATGAACAGTGCCGGCTCCTCCTCCGCCTGTGCGACGTGGGCCTGGCCGCGTCGTGGCAGTCAACAGTCCTTGGCCTAATGGCCAAGCCGGCCGTAGTGAGCGTCTCTGCGCGTCTTGCGTGGCTTGCCACGCTTGCGACCACCTATCGCGGAAGAAGGCTCCCCCTTCTTCCGGTCACCTTGGCTAGCAAGCCACTGCTCCCGAGTGAGGAGCTTCCCGCTAGTGGTGATGGGCCCCGAGAGAGACTGTGGCTCATCGCTGTCGACAACCTTGAGGCAACGTATCGCCTCCTCGATCGACATCGTGAAGATATCCAGTAGGGACTCGATCGAGCGAGCCATCTGCTTGTACTTCTCGGGGACGTGGTGAAAGAGCTTTTCGACAGCTCTCTCCTCGCCGTAGGTGTCATCGCCAAACTGCACCATCTTCTGCAACAGAGTCTTGAGACGGAGAGCAAAGTCATCTACGTCCTCACCTGGCTTGAAGGCCAGGTTCTCCCACTCCTTGCGAAGTGCCTGCAGTGTGGACTTGCGGGCGCGGTCGCTGCCGATGCGTGCCGTAGTTATGGCGTCCCAAGCCTCCTTGGCATTCCACTTGTTGGTAAGCGAGAACTGCATCTCGGGCGGGACTGCAGCGATAAGGGCATCCAACGCCCGTCGATCTAGGTCGCAGTCGACGTCGCCGTATCAGACTGCCTCCCACATGTGCCGCACCTGGAGCTTTACACTCATCACCGCAGCCCACTCGACGTAGTTGGTCTTGGTGAGGGTAGGCCACCCACCGCCTGGACCGACGTCCCTGACAACAGCCTGGAGCCCGTGGTAACCACGGTACCGATCCGGGGAGAGCCACGCTGCCTGTGAAGGCCGCGCTCTCCATCAACCCGTCCGCCACCGTTGCCGTCCGCGCCTCCTCCAGGAGCGCCGCCGCCGTGCGCGCCTCCTCTAGGAGCGCCGCCGGCGCGTTCGCGCCTGTCTGGGCTGCCGCCGCGCTCGTGGGCGTGCGCGGCTGCCCCAGGAGCGCCACCGCCGTGCGCGCCTCCTCCAGGAGCGCCGCCGGCGCGCCGCGCCTGTCTGGGCTGCCGCCACGCTCGTGGGCGTGCGCAGCTGCCCACTACGCCGCCCGCGCTCGCGCTGCCTCCCTCTCTAGCAGCTCGAGGTCCGCGTCGGCGGTGTCGTCAGCGGAAATGGAGCTGCCGATGCTGCCGGCACAGAGCCTCGACCTCCGCTGCCGCCGCACGCGCCGCTGCTTCCGCCTCCGCTCTGGCTGCTGCCAGCTCCGCCGCTGCCAGCCTCGACGCACCAGAGACCAAGAAGTGGACACCATCCAACTAGTAAAAATGTTCCTCAGTGGGAAAGAGTACATGTTGACATGTTCAAGAATAGGGGTAGAAACACTGGTGGAGCATTAAGGTTAGACATCACTGAGTTGATGGTAATTTTAACAAATGCAATAGAAGTGGGACGATGCACTATTGCTTGTTTCTGGGCAGCTTCCATTTGCGCTGACATCTGATTCTCAAATTGTTGTACTTGCATAGTAGATGCAGATGACGATCCTTATCCCCTTGCATGGAGGTTAGAGGCCTGATTTTGTTGCTGAGGTTGCTCTGAGTACTGAACAGAACCTTGAGGCCGAACCGACTGAGTAGTATTTTGAAACCTTTCAGATTCACCTGATAAGGCAGGTCCCTCAAAATAGTGTGGGTTACTATTGTTAACTAACTGATTGTCTTCATTTTGAAGGTTGTCTTGTTGTTTGGGCTTAGGGACCCATTTAACACTAGTGCTACTGGGCCTCTTAAAGCAGGATTTGGCTCGATGCCCATAATTGAAGCAGAACCAACGTCTAATTTGGCCTGAGCAATCTTTAACCAGATGAGCCGGACTTAAGCATCTGAAGCAAAGGCTGCATGACTTGGGAAAAAACTAAAGCGTCCACCATGGGGAGGAGGCACGTCATTAAACTTTGCTGACGGCTGGGTGTTGGTGGCATGATCAAGGTTGAGGTTAACGTGGAGATCTCTTTTGAGATTTTGAAAAACCTTCTGGATTGGAACATCAGCCATCCTAGCTGTCGAAGAGCCGGAGGAGCAGGCATGATCGATGGGCTGAAGAAACTGAAGCTTCCCCAAAAACATTGCAGGAGTCCCTCATAACAGGTAAGAAGATAGCACCAATCTTGATTACCGAAGAAAGCTCCCTGGGATGTGATTTACGAACAGGAAAATCTTGAGTAAGCTTTTTATGGAAAGAAACCCTCTTGGAATACATCTTGCGCTTGCTTTTACGGTTGATCGCAGTTGACCAGCTATCCTTCTCTTCCTTTTCCCATTTTTTATTATGTTGGAGTTCCCAGTTTTCACCTCCATCACGCCACATGTGGAAGTATATGTCAAAGTGATCAGTGGTAATCCTCTCAAGAGCACGAACCAACAAACCCACATGCTTTGAGGCAACAGAGAAGCGGAAATGTCGATCTTGCACATAGGAAACATGAAATCCGGCAGGAGAGCCACCCAGGCAACAATGAAGAGCCATAGCAACCGACTCTTCAGTCAAACGAAAGAGGTATCTTTGGAAAACCATAAGCATGAGGAAGGAGCCATCCAGAGACGAGGATGGGTGATGCACTGATGAAGAGAACTTGTGAAGAACTTCAGCTTGGAATCTCTTACCAGGGGAGAAATCCCCGTCCTTGACCAACTGCGCAAGAGCAGGGCCCTGCTCAAGTTCGAGGAGGGCACCAGGGGAGCAAACATGCCGAGCCATGGAGGAGAGCTCAACTCCAGCGGAGGTCTCGCCAAGAGTGGACAGCGACGACGAGGAATCAGCAGCGGCGATGGGGGGTGCAGACCGGCAGAGGACTCATACTTGCTTGCTTGACAGACCGGGACGCAGGAGAAGCACATGGGGCCACGTTGAGGCACAAGCGCGGGCTCGTGCGGGGGAAGAGGCGCGCGGCCGCGCGGGGCCATGTCGAGGCGCGGGTGTGGGCGCGCGGGGCCACGACGAGCAACGCAGGCACGGGGGCGAGTGGCCGCGGCGGAGGCGCAGCGCGGGGCCACGACGAGCGGCGCAGACCCAGGGGCACGCGGCCGCGACAGAGGCACAGGCACGTGGAGTTCACTACAGAGGCGCGCGAGAGGCCGCTACGGGGGCGCGGGCCTAGGCCTGCGAGGCCTCCGGTGAGCCGGCGGGCGGCGGCGGCATAGGGGAGCGCTCGGACACGATTTCAAATTCCGTATCATTGCACAAATCCAGAAAATAGAATTAAAAGCCAAGATTTGTATACATAATAATGAATTATCAAAAAAACATCTAATTACTCTCCTCAAAATGGCATCAAGGTATTAAGTTAAATAACAACTCAATTTGAAAACAAAATTAAACTATGATAAATAATTGATTATGTAGCACATGTCAACCCATGGCTGGAAAGAAAAATGCAAGAACTTCATTTGTCTTGAACCATACGGGTGAAGGGTGAATTGCTTCCGCCACTGAAAATTTTAAGGCACGATTGGACTTGTGTACTCTAGATATAAATATATAATACATTGGTTTGTCACTACTTTGGGATTTATTTTGAGTTCTTAAACTAATACTCCCTCCATCAAAAATATAAGGCGCGATTTGACTTGGTGCGGTCTCCATAATCATGATTTGACCACCAATTACTCTTATAATATATCAGTTGTGGCAACAAAAGTTTAATCCTTAGGGAGTATTTCTAAATACAAGTTGTAGCCCCCTGGCTCCCTCTTGTCCCCCACTCCCTATTTGTACAGTGGTGTTGTTCCTTTTGTTGTTGTTCTTTTTTTAATAAAATCCTTACAGTGGGGGTCTCCCCTGCTGTATTTAAAGTTCAAAAAGAAACATTTGTAGCACAAACTTTTCATATAAGTAGTCTAGTTGTTGATCAAAGATAACGAACTTTGAATTTTGAAATACGTGCGCGCCTTATATTTTAACACGGAGGGAGTAATTGTCTTTTATAATGATAATCATATTTGGCCACTACTTTAAGATCAATCTTCTTTCAGAGATTACAAAATGCCCATTCACAAAATAAATTTTGGTTAAAGTAAATTTCCAAAAACTGGAAAGATATCAAATGAAAGTTTGTGGTTACCTTCGAAATATAGATGTAAATTTTTCTTAATATATAAACTGGACAAGGAAAGTACTTAGAAAAATATTTAAATCTTAGATAAGTTTCTATACAACATTTGCACAATTTGAGCAAAACCTCAACTGAATTTGTACTAGTTTTATGCAATTTTTCTTTACTACTTCAAAGATATGTTGACTGTTAGACTTTCTGTTGATTTGTCTCAAATCTCAACAGTCAAGCAGTTTTGACATAACAAAGTGGTAAAGAAATAAGCAGTGGCAAAATAGTTGCAAATGAGATAAGGGATATTTTGCAATTGTAGGAGGGGTGGGGGTGGGGACAACAGAGACAGCGGTTGGGGGACGTTAGTGGGAGATAGAGGTCAGGAAGTGGCAAAAGGAAAAATAATTGATGAAGCCCTAGAGCATCCATCAGGGAACATTGGTTATCAATATGCTATTGAACAAATTATACATTTAATGACGAAATATAATTACCCAATGAATTCAGTGAACTTCAAAAACTCCTTGGTGTAGATAACCACAGCTTGCTGCAACACAGCAATGTCATCCTTCTCTCTGTTCATTTTAGCGGCAGATAATTATTAACTAGAAGGATCACATTGCAGCTAAAAAACAGAGTTAGTCTCTATAATGTTTTCTATAGCTCTAAGAGAAACTGTCTAAATGGTTGCAAGCAGAACTTCTCACATTTTCCTGTGTCCATATCGTGCCAAAGAGACATGCAGATACAACCGAATTGCAAGCACCAGTTTTGTAAGGGTGTAAAGGGCTGGACCATAACGTTCTCTTTGTTCTTCCATAGGTCTGAAAGAAATTTCAGATTGTAAGATAAAGTACTTGCATCATGAGCATTATGCATTATGCATGCAGTTACTTCACCTACACCATTTTAAATATGATGAAGGGCACTATTTGCTACTCCCTCCGTTCCAAAATGTAGGTGTTTGGGTTTTGTCCTAAGTCAAACACTCAAAACTAAAGTACCACCAAGTCTATAGAAAAATATAGCAAAATTTCCAACACCAAACCCACCATTGAATATTTTTTTTTTCTGGAATACGCAGGAGAGCTACGTATCATTGCATTAAGAAAGGGAATAAAAGGCTTATATAGCCATACAACAGCACACACACACCGTCTCTAGATTACATACGCGCCAGTTAAAACTGTAAAAAAGACGACCTCCCTCAACAGGCGCTGCTAAACCCCAGGTCGAGCAGCGACCAGTTCACTAATGCCTTTAGCGCCTGCCAACCTCCAGAGAGCGGCTTCTTCTTGTGCAAGGAGAAGCACCCGCTCAATCCTAGGCGAGGCACCATTGAACACAATATCATTTCTCTCCTTCCAAAGCATCCAGGCTCCTAGCATGACCAATGAATTGAATCCTCTCTTGGTTCTTTTGTCAAGAGTGCTACCGGCTTGTTGCCACCAATCAAAGAACCCAGTGGCAGATGGCTGAGGTGCAATATCCGGGAGTGCAAAGGTGCGAAATAATTGAAACCAGAATTGCCGAGAGAAGACACAGTAACAGAGGAGGTGCTGAATGGTTTCATCCTCTTGGTCACAGAAGGGGCAGTGCTCAGGATGAGGAAGACCTCTTCTAGCAAGTCTATCAGCTGTCCAACATCGATTATGTGCAACTAACCAAAGGAAGAATTTGCACTTCCTGGGACCCCAATTCTTCCAAATTAGAGTGCTCGGCTCAAACTGGACTGCTCCAAAGAACAAAGCCTCATATGCTGACTTAGTAGAGAATTGACCTGAAATGTCCAACTTCCACTTATGAACATCCTCAACCTCTGGCAGGAGTAATGTTTCCTGAACCAAGTCCCAAATGTCCAAGAATTCTGATAGGACCTCCACAGAATGGTGCCCCTGGATATCCTGTACCCACTGATTGTCCATTAGTGCTTCCTGAACTATACGCTTCTTAACCCGCCTCTTGGGTACAGTTGCAAATAAATTGGGAGCTAATAGCTTAATAGATGACCCTTGTAACCACCGATCAGTCCAGAACTTGGTGTTCGCCCCATTGCCGACATCTGTAGTTACAGCAGCCTCAAATAGGGCCTATGCATTCCCATGAACCGTGACCGGGAAGGCTGCCCATGGCTTATCAGGTTCAGTTTTACCCAACCACAACCAACGGACCCTGAGTGCCCAGCCAAATCTTTGAAGGTCTAAAATGCCCAAGCCACCAAGCTCCTTTGGACGGCTCACCTTGGGCCAAGCTAATAAACAGTTACCTCCTTTTGCCTCCTTCCTGCCCCACCACAAGAAATTACGACGAATCTTATCCACCGCCTTTAGGCACCATGGAGGAAGCTCCAAGGCAATGGTGAAATATATTAGAACTGAGGTGAGAACCGATTGCACATATGTAGCCCGACCAGCTCGATTCATCAACTCAGATTTCCAACCTGGCAGATGGTCAACCACCTTCTCAATCAGAGGTTGTAACTGTGTCTCAGACAACTTCTTGATGGAAAGAGGAAGGCCAAGATATTTGCAGGGAAACTCCTGAACTACACGGAAATTGAGTCTGAACCACAGCCAAGTCTTCATTTGAGCATTGAATAGGAGAGACACTGCATTTCTGAATATTTGTTCTCAGTCCTGAGGATGTGCCAAATAGCCGTAACAGTGCATCCACCATTTTCAAATCTGTGGCGATTGGGCGAAGAAACAGTACCACATCATTGGCATAAAGGGATACACGATGATGAATATTCCTAGTGGAAAATGGCTGCAGCAGCCCTTCAGTGCTTGCCTTATCAATCAATCTATTCAGGACATCCATGACAAGGATAAAAAGCATAGGAGAGAGTGGGTCACCTTGCCGAAGTCCACGCCGGTGATATAAAACCTCACCGGGGACCCCATTGAGTAGCACCCTAGTTGATGACGAGCCAAGCAAGCCGCTGATCATGTCCCGCCATTTACACCCAAAACCCCTTTTCTGAAGAACCTCCAAAAGAAACGACCAAGAAACCGAGTCGAAGGCTTTAGAGATGTCCAGCTTCAATAGAATGCGTGGCTGCTTTTGTTGATGCAAGAACCTGGCCGTCTGCTGGACAAGTAAGAAATTATCATGAATACAACGCCCTTTCACGAAAGCACTTTGATTGGATGACACCAACTCACTGAGTCTTCTTGCCAAGCGGTTTGCCAACAGTTTTGTGACCAACTTAGCAAAACTGTGGATAAGACTAATTGGTCGAAAGTCCTTAACTGAGGAAGCATCATCTTTCTTGGGCAAGAGGGTTCGCAGTGCTGAGTTAAGAAGCTGCATGTTCCTAAAATTCCCACGCTGCACCGCTGATATAGCAGCCATTAAATCAGGTTTGATAACTGGCCAGCATGTCTTGTAGAAACGCCCTGTGTATCCATCCGGACCTAGGGCCTTATCTGGAGGCAAATGCTTGATGGTGTTCCACACCTCATCCTCCGAAAAAGGCAGTTCTAGGTCGGTCAAATCAATTTGGCTTAAGTTCAGCTCTTCAAGGTTGATGGTCAGATCCCGCTGGCCACTTGTGCCCAACAACTGATCATAGAAATCATAAATTGCTGCAGCCTTATCCCCATGGCTAGTCAGCACCTGATCATCTACTATTATTTGTGAGATGAAATTTTTGCGCTTCCTATGACGGACATGAGCATGAAACAACGCTGTATTAGCATCCCCATCTTTCAACCAGTTAATCCTTGACCTGACCCGAGCAATTGTTCTCTGCATAGAACTCAAAGCTAGAGAATGTTTTCTCAAAGAGTGCAGCAACCAAAGCTCTCCTTCTAATAGCTGTCAGTATATTTGTTTGGCGTTGGAAATATTGCTATGTTTTTATATAACTTTGGTCAAACTTGAAGACGTTTAACTTAGGACAAAATTATTAGAACACCTTAAGACATTTTACAGCATCTGGGTTTTGGTCGCTACTGGTGTAATCTGACCTGCTTGCGGCTATCTACGTCTTCTACATGTGTTTTGGTCAATGGAGAGCGTAGAGAACTGATTTGGCATCACCGGGGACTTCAGCACATGCTATTTTTGGAGAGAATTATTTATTTGGCATCGAAACAAATCAGTGTTTTGTATTTGGCACTCAAAAATTTGAACTTTTCTATTTGGCATGAAGTTAAAATTTCCTTTCTTAACTGGCACTGCCGTCCATTTTCATTGCTTATCTGTTAGTTGACTGTCAGTTTTTTCTCCCTTTGTCCAGTGTACCCCTCTGTTTACGTAAGATTGAAATTTAACCGAAACCGAGCCCCAGAATCCCAGATCCGGGCCACTGTACGAGGCTGCCCACGAGTTTGACCAAGACGTGCTCATCTCCGTCGACACCGCCGCAGATATGGTGTACTTCGCCATCGAGTTCGACCGAGGCGTGCCCGTCTCCGTCTCCGCCGCCTCCAACCTCGTCCAGAACTCCCCCAGCGCTTCCACGCTCCGCTCGCTCGTCCACTACTCCGTGTCCGGGCGCTGGCCCGGGTACACCTCTGTCCCCATCAGCCCCAGCGGCCCCGAGGAGATGGACATGAACACCAACGCCTCGGTCACCGGCGTGACGCTCGCCAGGAAGTCTGACTTCGTCAGCTCCGCCCCGGCATCCGGATCCGGCATCGGCCGCATGGTGAGGTTGGGCCCGCTCATGTCCGCATGGAATGCCGAGCCCAGCCTGATGACGGTGGCGCCGTTCTCCACGAGGCCCACGACGCAGTCCATCGCCGGCCTCCACGCCGTGTCCGAGCTCACCACCACGCAGCAGCCCCGACTCTCCTACCACCACGGGATGCGAGCAGGCCACCCCGCGGGAGGCTGCCCCCGGCCTTGCTCGACGAGCCGCGTACCCGTGCTGGGGCCAGCGTCGGCGCGCTCCAAGGCGTGGTCATGTAGGCCATGCTCACCTTCGCGCGGCCATGGCGGAGCGGAGCTCCGGGCGCACGCGCTCGCCGTTGCCATGGCCAGCCGAGGGCGAGGCCGACCACCATCTGCGCGACAGCAGCACCCCCGGCCCCTGCACGCGAGACCGGCGGCGGCTCAGCAGCTCGCTCGCTGCCTTCTCATCCGGTGTACTTGTCGGGCTCCCACGCCAAATACGAAACACAGAAAGACTCCCACGCCATCCCCGAGGCACTTGTCGGGCTCCCTGACGATGTAGACCTCGTCGGCGGCGACGTCGGCGTTGAGGTCCTGGTTGCGGTGCCACCGCCAGAGCGCATGCGTGTCGTTCTTCACCTCCAGCACGTCGTGCCCGAAGCTGCTCTCCCTGTACGCGCTGTAGTCCGGCTGGCGATCCCAGCAGAAGCGCCCAGCGGCGGGGCCCGTCGTGAAGTTGGTCGCGCAGAGGCGGCCGCCTATGAAGGGGTCCGGCGTCGACGCCGGGTCCGAGCAGTGGCCCGGGTCGTCCGCGTGCGTCGTCGCCATCTTCTCGCGGTTGCCGCCGTCGCCCACCGAGATGTACACGGGGCCCCACGCATCCAGCGTGTAGTTGAATACCCGGTTCGACCGCTCGTACGTGTGCACCTGATGGACATCGATCACAGACCACCGTGTTCAATCGTTCTTCAGCTCAGACCATCAGTAGAGGCGCAAGGGCAAGGCTTACATGGCCGGTGAAGACGACGTCGACGCCGTAGGCGTAGAGGAGCTCCTCCATCTCCACCCTCATGCACTCGGCTTCCCTGTAGTGAGCCTTGTACGTGGTGTATCAGGGCGCGTGCCAGCCGGCGATCAGCCACGCCGCCCATGCAGCCGCCGCCATCCCCGAGGCCGCGACAAGCGGCGAGCTACGACACGCGCAGGGCAGCACTGAACATGCGACAAAGCGAGCTACGAGCTGGCGCCCAGGGATGGAGGCAAGCGGCGCACAGGTCCAGCGACGACTGGCGAGTGGCAGAGCCGGCTCACGGCGAGGCCGCGGCGGCGCGGGAAGACCTCGCACGGGGAGCAGCACGAGCGGACCTCGCGTGCGGCAGCGAGCTGGGAGCTCGCATACGGGGCCACGACAGCGGCGCCGGTGCATGGTGAGGCGCTGTGGTGCCGGCAGACCTCGCGCGGACAGCGGCGAGCGGCACGTGGAGACCGCGATGACCAGCGCGCGGCACTAGCGAGGTTGCGGCAAAGCGAGCTAGGCGCTCCCGTGGGAGCAGCGACACGCCATCGTCCTGCCTCCTTCAGTCGGTAGGGCGGCGATGCGGGGACGTTGGTACGGGGCCTATGCGTCGGGTCGCCAGGGTGATGGCATGGGGCTACGCAAGAGCTCCGACAATATCGTCCATACGAAAATACTTGAACTTCCCTATTTGGCACCGTGGATTTCTACTGCAAAACAAGGGTATTTATGTCTTTTTACCGGTCACTTGACACCGTTACTGTCCTAAATAGACGGCAGTGCCATTTATGAAAGGAAATTTCAACTTGATGCCAGATAAGAAAGTTCAAATTTTCGAGTGCCAAATACGAAACACTGATTTGTTTCAATGCCAAATAAATAATTCTCCCCTATTTTTGCTAGCTATGGATGCTCTGAACTCTTCCTCGTTGACCATACTGTTAGAAAAAATCTCCTTCGGCCAATTTCAGCACAGTATGCTAAGCATCAAGCCTCCTTTTATGCCGACGATGTAGTGCAGCTCATCCATCCAACAAGTGCTGGTGTCTGTATCATCATGGAGCTTCTAGAGATATTTGGTCATGCTTCTGGGCTGAAGACTTATATGCAAAATAGTTTAATAACTCCTATTGGGTGCTCTGATGCTGAGCCAGCAGTCATCTGTGAAGTTATGCCTTGTCATCTTAAAGAATTCCCATGCACCTACCTTGGCCTTCCCCTAACAATCCGCAAACCCACCAAGACTGAGCTCCAACCTCTCATTGACAAGGTGGCTAACAGCCTCCCCGGCTGGCAGGCCTCTCTCATGAATAGAGCACGTCATTTAATTACTGACTGTGTGGTGTTGACTTCTATCCCTATTTACCAAATGATTGCTAAGTTCCACTCCAACACACATGGATACACATGGATTGAGGTGGATACAAGTGCATCCAAACAATCCCGAAGTGGGTTATCAAAGCTATTGACAAGAGAAGAAGGGGCTTTCTCTCGAAAGGTTGGGAGCAAGTAAATGAAGCCAATTGTCTTGTTTCCTGGGAGCACGTTGGGCGTCCCCTCCAGTATGGTGGTTTAGGCATAATAAATTTAGAGATCATGGGATGGGCTTTGCGCATACATTGGCTGTGGCTACACAAAGCTGAAGCCAAACAGGCCATTGGCTGGTTTACCAATTAATGTGCCACATAATGCTCAAGTACTGTTTGGAGTGGAGTTGAGACAGTCATTGGCAATGGAGAAGATACCAGGTTCTGGGTTGATCGCTGGTTGCAGGGGAAAACAGTGGCAGAAGTTGCTCCAAATCTAATAATTAAGATAATCCCCAAGCCAGCAGTTAAACAACGGACAGTCACCCATGCTCTTGATGGCAGACGATGGGTAGCAGACATTAGGGGAGCACTGACTGTACAAGTTCTTGCTGAATCCCCCAAACAAGCAGTGAAACGACGTACAGTAGCCATGGATAATAGGCGCTGGGTTGCAGATATTAGAGGGGCTTTAACTGTGCAAGTGCTACGAGAATATTTATACATCTGGGATCTGGTAGATGGCTTGGTTTTACAACCAGAGATCCCTGATCAGCATAGGTGGAAGCTAACCAATTCGGGGCTGTATAGCAGCAAGTCGGCGTACAATGCTTTCTTCCTTGGAAGCATTAGGTTCGCACCTTGGAAGCGCACCTGGAGAAGAGGGCACCACTGCGTTGTAAATTCTTCATTTGGTTGACCATCAAGAACAGGTGTTAGACAGCTGATCGTCTTGCTAAGCGCGGGCTTCCTCATCCGGCGGTCTGTCCGCTTTGTGATCAGGCGGAGGAAAATATCCAACACATTCTTATCTCTTGTGTGTTTGTTCGGCAAGCTTGGGCTTTAATTTTGCAGAGATTGAACCTGCTAGCTTTGGCTCCTCACGGAATGAACAATCATTTCTCCAGCTGGTGGTGTTATATTATAAGGGGCGTTCCTAGAGTTGAGCGCAAAGGCCTTAGTACCCTCATTATCCTAGTGGCTTGGGAAATATGGAAGCACCCAAATGTTTGTGTGTTGGAGGGTGCTAGGCCTACCATAGAGGTGCTGCTTCACTTGGTTGCCAATGAGGCTGCCCTATTGTGCTTGGCTGGGGCATCCACGTTGCATAGGGTTTTGGCTAGGCCGCTCATGTAGATCATTAATGAGTTGAGTCTTTTCCAGGGTTGTTTGTACTAGGAGGGTTTAACAACCCCCCCCCCCTCCTTTATGTACTTTTTCTTCTTAATAAAAAAATGGCAGCTCTCCTGCGTTGTTCGAGAAAAAAATATATCTTCTCCTATGGGATCTACTCCCTCCGTTCTAGATTATAAGTCGCTTTGACTTTTTTGATACATCTATTGTGCTATGCATCTAGATATAATATAAGTCTACATACACAGCAAATTTTGTGTACCAAAAAAGTCAAAGTGACTTATAATTTGAAACGGAGAGAGTACTAGATAATTTGGCTGTGCAGCAAAAAGTGCCAGACCAGGACGTATGGCGCCTAACAAAGTCAGGCTCCTATACTAGTAAGTTGGCTTACAATGCATATTTCCTTGGTTCCACCAAGTTTGCACCATAACGTATCTCAGAATCTTGGGCCCCGCTGTGTTGTAAGTTCTATATTTAGTTGGCAATCAAAAATAGGTGCTGGACTTCAGATCATTTGGCTAAAAGAGAGCTGCCACATCCCAATGCTTGTCCTCTTTGTGATCAAGAAGATGAGACAATTCAGCATGTTCTAATTTCTTGTGTCTTCACAAAGCTAGTGTGGCTGGTTATCCTCAAAAAATTGGGCCTGGCTGCCCTTGTTCCTCAATCTGCTGCCACTCCTTTCTGCAGCTGGTGGCATGACGTGATCAGAAATATTCCAAAGGACAGAAAGAAAGGGCTGAATTCATCCTTGTGGCTTGGGAGACCTGGAAACATCGTAATGCTTGTGTTTGAGGTGTTAGGCGCTGTGGCAAATTGGTGCATCAGCTCTCCATGAACTCTTATGAGGTCACTTAACCTGGCACCTAGGTCAAGGTTTGTTTGGTCAAGTTTTAGTCTTTTGCAAGTGGTGCGTACTTAGGAGTTGGCCTCCGGCCTCTCGCCCTCTCCTTGTTTTTCTCTTCTTAATGAAATGACACACAGCTCTCCCACATCATTTGAGAAAAAAAATACCTTACATTTCAGAACAAACGGAGTAACATACATTTCAAATTTTCAATTAAAAGGCATGCATACATACCCATTATCATCATTTATTTGTCGAATAAAATCCAATAAAACCTGAGGTAGAAAAAAACTAAATGTCACATTATGTCATTGTTTAACAAAAAGAATGATGAAAGGCATAATAAATATTTAAGAAATTATCTTATTTTGATAAAGAGATATTAAAATAGAGATGTCTTTCAGCAATCTAAGTATCTAACCTAATACAAAAACACTAACATAAATAAAATGATTGAGATGGTGAAGATGACTCTAATTCACTAACCTGTGGAACACCAACCAAATACCTAACAAGAGTCTTATATACACCTGTTGCAGAACCAAGCTGTGCTAACTGCACCCTCCTACATATTAAATATCAAAATTAGAGAAAAGAAAAATATCAAAACTCAATGAAGGATAACAAATGTATTTCTTTCTTCTTAATGCAATGACACACAGCTCTCCTGTGCATTCGAAGAAAAAAAACAATGTAGTCTTGGAAACGAAAAGATACACATAAGCAACCTTTCCATTTGCTGTTTCCATAACAATGCATATCGATCATGAATGCTTCCACCAGCACTAACCAGAGCATCTACCTCTGCTTGTTTATTTCTCTCTGAGCGTTCTCGCTGTTGCCTGATTAGAGTACCCCGAAAATCTTGGGGCATGTATGTCATAACTGCAAAATATTATAAATGATTGAATATCAAGTACTAAGAATGCACCTGTACTCAACTGTAGAACTAAGGGATGAACCATCCAAGGTTATGCAAAACGTTGTTCTTAATATCAAACTTTCAGTCATTTTTATTGTAGAATATGCAGGATGGCTGCGTATCATTGCATTAAGGGGATAAAAAAACACATTACAACACACCCACCACGCTTACACATACGCACACTCTTACAAACTCGTACGGAAACAAGCGCGCCCTATACAGTCATGAGATCACAAATATCCAAAACTTCCAAATAATAAGCAAAAGTGATATGACAACGACTCAATGTTTTTAAGATGTATTTAGTATGTAATGAAAGTATTAAACATAAGACGTGTGAACATGGCTCCCGACCCCTCCTTTCCCTCCCCCACCGTCTCGCCTCCCACTAGCCCCGCGCCGGAGTTCATCCCGAATCCGGTGGCCACCAAAACAGCGCCCGCGCCTCCTCTCCATCCCAAGACGGTGGGTTCTTCCTCCCCTGTTCCCTCCCAGGCGGAGCAGCTGGTTATGGGCGGACGCTCCAAGCAGGAGCGTTGGTGCTCTGTTTCGCCGAGCTCCTCCGCCAGTCCTAGCAGCTCGCCGCCATCCTTCCGTGACGTCGTGGTCTCTTCCTCGCGGGCTTCTGGTGCGGTGTCTTCGGCAGCGGGCGGTGGAGAGGCTGCCGTGGTGGTGGCAGGCGCTCCTCTCTCAACGATTTCTGTGGCGGCCATGGTTCCTGCGACCTCCTGGGTTCCTAGGATAACGCTTCTCCGGCGGGATCACCCTAGGCGGTGGGGTGCGGTCATCTCAACTGGCGCTACGCGTCCAAACTCGGAGGGATGGCAGAAGGCGCTGTCACGCGGCGCACGGCGGCGGATTAGGCGTGTAGCCCGTCCTCCTCCGCGCTGTTCAAACCCGGCGGACCTGGTTGGCCGTTGCTTCAACTGCTTCTCGACTTCGCATACGGCGTCTCATTGTCGCCAGAAGACTCGCTGTTTCCGTTGCCGATCCCAGGGCCACCGTTCCTATGTGTGCCCTGCGGTGATCCGCGGCGGGAACGCTTCTGCTCGTCCTGCTTCTGCCCGCATCTCTGTTTGGCGACGGATATCTCCGGCCAATGAGGCTACCGGCGCTGTTCCCCCGCAACGGCCTTCTCCGGCGGGGGCTGCTGGTGGCGCTGGTATAATGCAGAACGCTTCTAGTTGACCTACTCCTACCTGCGTCCCCGTGTGGCGACGGATTTCTCCGGCCCATGAAGCCACCAGTACTGCCACCCCGCAACGGTCTTCTCCGGCGGACGCTGCTGGTGGTGCTGGTTCAACGCAGGGCCCTTTGGAGGTGCAGGCCCAAGATCAAGGTACGCGGGCAGGGCAGCAGCGTCGTCATCGACGTCCGCAATTCCGGTGTCGCCCTGTGCAGGAGTCCGTCCGCGACCAGGCTGATGATCCATTGCCGGACATGGCTTCATCGCAGACGGCCTGTGAAGCTTTGAAGCCTCCTCCGTGCATCATTGATTGGACTGAGCAGGTGGCAAGGGCTGAGGAGGACCTGGCAAATGCAGTTACGGTGTCTGTGATCGGCAATGAACCATTGGCTGCAGTGGAGGGGGTTGCTGCGGTGATCGCGGACGACAGAATTGATGTTGTTGCCAGCTCCTTGGTGCTTCGTCAAGCTTCCTCCTCAAGTTACTTACTGATCATTCCTGACATAGCTTTGGTCGAGCGTCTGGTTGGGCTGCGGCAACCGATCAGTTCTTCTGGCTTCAATTTTCGCCTTCTGTGCAAGCGATGGAGCCGCCTGGCTGGTGCCCAAGGTCGAGTTCTACCGTTTCTGCTTGATATTGAGCTGTGTGGCATTCCAAATCATGTTTGGGAGACATCTACGGTGGATCGTTTCTTGAGTCCCCACGCTTGGGTTCAGCAGGTGCATCCTGACACCCTAGGGCTCGTGGATCTTTCGTGCTTTCGGTGTTTGGCCTGGTGTTCAGACCCGTCTACTCTTCCCTCGTCAAAGGAATTATGGGTGGTTGAGCCTCCAATGGCTGTCATCAAGGATCCTCTGGTCAAGAGGGTTTTATCTTACCCTGTCAACATACGGTATTCAGTCGCTCTCCAACCTGAGGCGCCGAATCCTCCTCCATCTGATGGGGGGGATGATGATGATGGTGACTGTGCTAGACGGCGGCATCGTGTTCGTTCCCCATCGCAACCGCCCTCAGGACCGGCTGGTGGGGAACTTTCCAATCATGGCGACGGTTCTCGGCGGCGATCGGTCCAGGGGCAGGAGATGCAATCGGTTCTTGGGAAGTCGCACGTGTCTCATCCTCTGACGGCGTGCTCTCAGCTGTTGGCCGAGGCCTTGGTGTCCGAGGCGGCCATGCAGGAGCGGGACGTTGGCCGCCCGGGCCTCGTTGTGGCGTCGCGGGGTCCCAAGGACGTCCCAACGCCCGATGAGGTGGCGGCAACTAATGCCGCGGTTTCAGATACCGATGCTATCGAGCGTGTTCTTGGGGAGCCCTTGATCTCCTCGAGGGCCTCTCCTAATGGTATGCTGCTTGAAGTGAACTCTGGGTCATCGGTTGTTTCTGGCCCAGTGGAAGTGGCACCCACAGGGCTGGAATTGGGCCCCCGTTGTGTGGTTCTGGATTCCCCGGTCCTGGAGGCTACGGTAGGGAGCTTCCCCGGCCAGCCGACTGTGCCGTGCTCGAATCCGCCGGTCGGCAAGGCGACGGATGAAGCTCCCACTCCGGCCTCGCCACGCTCGCCCCAACGCTCCCCTGCGCCCGTCATCCCGGGATTCAATCCGCCATCGCTGGATTTCCCCCTCTCAATATCTGAAGCAAGGCCTGTTACGCCGCTGGTTGGGGAGCGCCGGTCAACGGCTTCTCCGTCGGACCCTGCCCCGCCGCCTGCTCAACCTCTACATGCTGGGGGGGCGCAGGTCCGAGTTTACTCCAGGCGGCGGCGCCGTGTTAGGTCCCCTGCCCCAGCTTCCCCTGCCGTTGCGGATGCTCCTTCCCTGGGTTCAAGGGCGAAGTCCCGGCTCCAGAATCTCGACAAGGTGCGCAAGCCGGTGGACAGGCTCATCCCTCTGCCTGTAATCCAGAAGCGGCGAAAAAAGGCCGCTCCTCCGGGGTCTCTACCGCGGCGCAGCAGGCGGGTCGCTGGTGCCTCTCCATGCTCGCCTGGACCGGTGCTTTCAGTGGCTCAGATGAGGGTGATGCGGCAGCTTGGCTTTGAAGAAAGGGAGATCATTCAGCCAAAAGCTCAAGACATTTATAGTAAGCTCTTCGGGCCATTACTCTCTGATTCCCACGTCTGTGCTTTAGCTGCTATTTTTGGATGGGGAGTGGGAGAGGGTGAGCAGGTGCGGGCTGCAGATGTCCTTACAATGTTGTAAGGTTAGACTCTTTGTTATGGTCGTCTTATTTCTTTGCTCAAATGAATCCTTCTACCATTCTAGTTTGGAATGTCCGAGGTCTTAATAAAAGGGATCGTCGGAATTCTATCAGAGATGTTGTTATATCCAGTAATGCTGACATCATCTGTTTACAAGAAACCAAGGTCACTAACATGTCCCAACATCTTCTCCTTTCGGTCTGTGGCTCTGCGTACGATAATTTCATCGCGCTCCCGGCCAATGGGACTAGAGGAGGGGTTCTGATTGCTTGGAAGGGGTGTTCTTGCCAGGCAATTGCATCAAGAATTGACACTTATTCAGCTTCTGTTCTGTTTACGGAGCAAGAGGGTTGCAATTGGTGGTTCACTGGCGTCTATGGGCCACATGGGGATGATGAGAAAGTGTTATTCTTGCAAGAATTAAGGAATATCAAGGCTCTTTGCAATGGTCCTTGGCTCTTAGGCGGAGATTTCAATTTGATTTATCAGGCTGCTGACAAGAATAATGCAAATTTAGATAGAGCTATGATGGGAAGATTCAGACGTTTTCTAGATGACAATGATCTCAAGGAGATTCCGCTCTTGGGTCGTAAATATACTTGGTACAATGAGAGGAGATCGCCTACTTTGGTGAGGCTGGATCGGGCTTTTTGTTGTGGTGATTGGGAAAATATTTTTCCCGATCTCAGTACTCAAAGCACAAAGCAGATAGGGTTTCGCACCAACGCCCACTTATCCTTGGTTTGAAGGTGTGTACATCCGCAAGCGAAGATTCCATTTTGAAAGCTTCGGACCAAATTGCCCGGCTTTCTTGATGTCATTAAAAGAAATTGGGAGGCTGCAGTCACGATCTACTTGTCTTTGTGGAGTGCATCTTCCTTAAATTGCAATGACTCGCTCAAGACGGGGCTGCAAAAATGGGGACAACGGAAAGTAGGGAATATTAAAGCCCAATTAGAATTGGCCAAGAAAATACTTCACTGTTTGGAAATTGAAAGAGATTCAAGGGCGCTCTCTGATCGTGAGGAATGGCTCAGAAAGAAACTCAAACTTCATTGTCTCGGTCTAGCTTCCCTTGAGCGAACCATTGCACGGCTACGTTCTAGAATTCTTTATCTCCGGGAAGGTGACGCCAATACTGCTTTCTTCCACCAACAAGCTAGATACACGAAGAAGAACTTCATCTCAAAATTGCATGTTGGTAATCGTGTGGTTGTCACACAAGATGAGAAATGAGTAAAGCGAAGGATTTATTTCTATGAGAGCATTCTTGGAACAGCTAAAGAAAGAGATTACACTCTTGATCTAGATATTTTGAACATTCAACATCATGATTTATCTGAGCTGGATGCTTCTTTCTCTGAGGAGGAAGTGTGGGCTACCATAAAGGATATGCTCTTGGATAAGGCCCCAGGGCGGATGGATTCACAGGAAAGGTTTTATAAATCCTGCTTTGGAGCATTATTAATGGTGATGTGATGAGGGCGTTGGAGGCCATCCAAAAAGGCCATGTCTTCAAATTTCGGCTCTTGAACACACCTTTATAACCTCGCTACCAAAGAAAGTGGATGCAAATTGGA